CACACACACACACACACACACACACACACACACACACACACACACACTCTATACACATGCCACAGACACACACACAAAACACAGGATACACACACACATACACACCCCACACCCCACGTGTCCATATTTTTATCCCAGCTCAGTCATATGAGAAAACAAGGCTCTGCCTCCCAGGGCTAGCTCAGCAGGAGAATGGGGACAGCCCGGCAGCCAGCAGGGGCCAGCAGGGGGAAGGGCTTTGCAGCCCCTCTAGAGTCTGGGCTTGTCCCAGGGGGCAGCCTCTTCAGCTTCCTCAAAGTTCTGGTTCTTGGCAGCCTTGCCAAGTACAAGAAGTACCTGGTTAGCCCAAAGGGGCAGGATAAGGGCTGTTTTGATTAATTGGCTATTCTGGTTGTACCAGGCGAGCAGTAGCACAGTCTGGTTTCCCCAACAGGTTGCTAAGCCCCCTTCCATAACGATTGTTATAATAACAGCTTGCCCCAAGCATCACCCTGAGACTATAAATTGCAGAGAAGGTACCTGGCACATAGTAGGCCCTTAATCAATGTTTATTGAATGAGTGAACACACTTTAAATACAATATTATCATCCCTGTTCTTTAGATAAGGAAACTGAGGCAAACAAGTTAAGTGATTTGCCCAGGGTCACACAGCTAGGAAGTATCTGAGGCTGGATTATGAACTCAGGTCTTCCTGACTCTAGGCCCAGGGCTTTCTCCACTCTGCCACACCAGGGAACCCTGGCTGGAAGAATCTGCTATGTTCCTCAGGTCATGTTCCTCAACTAGGCTGATGGAGCTAGAATGGTGGGGGTGGGGGGGAGGGCTAGAACTGGGTCAGAGGGATTAGGAAGGAGCAAGGGTGGGGAGGGGTGGGGCCTATATGTCCCCTGCCTCCTTCATGGTTGGCTCTGGCCAGTCACCAAGCCTCAAGGATGGAGTCAAGAGAGAGCCTCTGTGATCTGGTGTTTGTCAGTGGCCAGATCTTGGAGACCAGGGCGCAGATAAGACACTTCAGCTCCATCGGAACCAGGTGAGAGGGTTTGGAACAGGACTTGGGGTGAGGGGCTAGATGGTTTCTATTTTTATTGAGAGTTGCTACTAACATTGTATGCATCAGCAGTTATCTAAGAATACAAATCCAATAATACAGACTAGAAAATAATAATGATGCAGAGCAGTCTGGCATCTACCCTGCCTTTGTGTCTGGAGCAGGAAGATCTGACAAGGGCCAAAAATGGGTCTCAGGAACAGTCTCAATGTGAACCAATATTGAGATCAGCCAGGAGACACCAATACTGGCCACGGTCATCTGGTTACTGTGAAATCTCAAACCTAATAGAGAGGGTCTGCTCATTCCAACAGCTGCCCTTGACTCAGGTTAATTTAGCAGCATGAGCATTGCCCATTTCTATCAGCTCAGGAAGGATTTATGGCAATATTAACTAAAGCTGTCTATTAGCAAGCGTGTGTCAACATTAACCAGTTTCTGGATGTTAGCCTTGATAGGACCAGACTGTGGACAAGGATGTATATCCCTAAAGATATATTAGGACGTTGTGGGCCCCAGCCTGGAATCTGAGGATAGGTGGAAATTTCACCTGATTGCGTGCCCAGTGGGGATTAATAACCATGGACAACCTATCTTTGGGAAGCAGGCGTTGGCTCCAAGAAGCCTTATTATCACGCCAAAGCTATTTCAAAATAGTTGTCACCCTCAAGAGTTGTGAAAAAGAGCTTAGGTAACTCTGGCCGATCGTCTCTGAAGGGCACTTCTGCACTGTCTGGGCCAGCCATTGAGGAATTCCACAGTCAATGAGAGAGTGGCTATGCTTGCATGCCTGAAACATAGGACTCAACCTTCCCTACAATTTGCCCATTTCATTTTCATGCTCTCCCTCTTATTGGTGACATTGGCAGGCTGGTTCTCACCGTCTCTCCAGTTCTTTTGACGCTACTTGCCAATCTCAGTTTCTAACTAGCGCCTGCACAGTCATTCAGAAGATGCCTGGTGTGCTCATCTGTTAAATGGGGATTCATAATATCTCTGGTATGGGAGATGTATCTTCCTATGTCAATGGGAGGATTTTGTCATCACAAAGGACTAGAGCACTGTACCCCGTCATGACTCCAGACCAGCCGCGGGCCCGATGTACACTTGAGACTGCCTGAGAACATCTTGCTGGCATTTCTGGAGCGTTGAACTTTTCCAAAGCATTTTATAGACATCTCAAATGAGCTTCCAAAGAACTCTGGGAGTTAAGCCCCCCCCTCTTTTTTTAGCCTGGATCTATGATTTTCCCCACTAAGGAAAGTCCCTCTACCAGCGCACATCAACACCTTCTCTGCAACTTCATCTTAAAGAATTGTCCAGGGCACTCCAAGGTAAAGTGAGTTGTCCAAGGTCACACAGCCAGTGTGCACTGGGAGAGGAGTTAGCAGCTTTTCAGCCCATTATCTTGTACGTCCCAGCTTCCAGTGTCTTCTGGTCAATCTCAGCCCAAGTGCTAAGTGTCTGCACTCCTTTCCTCCATGCTGAAGCGAATGTTTTTCTCACTCTAGCTGGAAATCGAAATCATGCTTGCTATGGTAAAACCTTTTAAAGGCCAGAAGTACCATGAGCTGAAGCAGGCGTGCCTCCGAGAGCACCGGCTCTTTGAGGACCCCGAGTTCCTTGCTGGGAACGAGTCCCTCTTCTTCAGCCGCCGCCTGCCAGGCCCAGTGGAATGGAAGCGGCCCAAGGTAATGACTCAGATCAGCAGGTGGCTTGGGGCCTAGCACCCTGAGGCCCAGGAGGTGCCAAAGTTAGGAAAGGAATGAATTCTAGTCCTGATCTGCTCTTCCCTCCCTCTTTGCCAGGAGATAGGGTCACAATACCTCAAATGAATTCTCGCTCACTGCCCAGTCCTCAACAGGACCCCTAGTGGAGGAAAGGGGTGATCATGCAATGGAATCCTGTTAAAAATGGCTGGCAGGGAAACCCAACCCCCCTTGTGGAGATGCAAATACATAAGCACTGAGGCAGTCACCAAGATGACAGCAGAGTCTGGGTCAATTCCACCCCCGCCCTTCTGCCTTTTTCATCCAGTAATCCTTGGGGAGGCAGTGTGGTAGAGTATGCAGAGGCCCAAGCTTGGGATCTTGGCTGTGACCGTGGGCCTCACTTTCCTCCTCTATCGATTAAAGGCCAGATGACTTCTGGGGTCTCTCCTAGCTTGAAATCCGATGAAATGAAATCTAGGATTCTAGCTGATTCCAAAAGGATAGGGTACGGGCTGGTCCAAGTTCCCAGGGAGCCGCCACCAGGATATTGAAGAGCCCTCAAGTCTGTCCCATTGGAGGGTTGGCTGAGGAAGCCACTCCTGCCCTAGGGAGGGAGATGATGAGAGCCCAAGATTCCACACAATCGAGTGCGAGCAATCCCGGGCCAGAGGGCCAAAAGACATTAGAAGGACTTGGCATCTTATTGGCCGTGAAATCAATGGCAATGACAGTGGCTCACACATGGGCAGTATTTTAAGTCCCTTGCATGCAGTATCTCACCAAAACCTGGTAGAGAAGGTGCTGCCAAAGAGAAGCCATGTGATAGGCCAGAGAGGGAGGGGTGGGCAATGATATAATGATACCCTGCCCTCCCTGGAGGCAAAGCCCACTACAGGTCTTCGTTGGGGTCTTCATTGCCTACGTGACCAGCACATGAGCAGGGGCAGTGGGGAGCAGATGTGATGAGTGACAGGGCCATGGGGAGGGGACAGGGGAGAGGAGAAGAGGGCAGGGCCAGGGGCCACCCAGAGGTAAGGGCCCAGTGTCAGAGCAGGGCAGCCTCGGGGGATGCAACGTGGCCTTGCTTCCTAACAGGGCAGTGGGTCTACAGGGCTTCCTTCCCTCGCTCACCCCTCCTCCAGCCCCTACTTCCTCAGGACCCTAGGGGCTGAGAAGATATGACTAAGGGTTTTGGCTCCTACGCCGCCGTTGGCTCTGCTCAGTGTCTGGGGGGCCCAGGCAGGAGCTCTGTTAACCCAGGTCAAGGCTGAGTTAAAGCACATTGCTTAAGCCTGGGCCCAGATGTGAGAGGCACAGACCCAGGCCCAGGCTCCCCTCCTGACTGCCTGCAGCTGGGCCGAGGGATCAGTGAAGGCTGCTGCCCTCCTGCTCGTACCAGGCAGCTGGCAGCCAGGACCAATCGGAGCTCTCCCTGGGTGGGTGGGGTTTGACCGGGATTCAGGCTCCACCAAGACTTTGGGGCCTATAGCTACTCATTGAACCCTCTGCTCCGGGGTCAGAGCTTGAGTGTACGGCTGGGAGGGACTGCAGAAGCCATGGGGTCTGACCCTCTCATTTCACAGAGGAGGAGACTGAGGCAGCCCAGAGAGGGCAAGGGATTTATCCAGGTCACCCAGCTAGCTCAGAAGTACCAGAGCTGGGATTGGAATCCAGGCCTTCTGACCCTAAGACCAGGGCCCTTTTCACTCTACCTTTACTGGAAGTGCAGAGGCCAGAGCCCAGGGCCCACGGGAGGTCAGTTGATCATTTTCCAAGGCCGTCCTCAGGACTAGCCAGGGCCCATCTCTCTCCACAAAACTTGAGCCAAGCAAAACCTAATTCCCAGCCTTTCTTCCCCCACCCCTTCACCCAAGCCCCTCCCTCCATCTTGGCACTGTCACCTAGAGGCCCACTCCCTAGTTGCCTCTGCAGAGAACCCCACTATCCTATCCTGGGTCTGCCTTGAAGCTGGGCCTTCCCGAGGGGGCGGGGGGAGACCCCAAAGTCTCTGTTTCCTCCCCTTCTTTTCTTCCCCCTCCTCCAATCTTGCCAGCCTATCCTGAGCCTCCCTCCCACGTCAGTCCCTCCCTCCAGAGTAGGGCAGGCTGGAGAAAGCCCGTGAACCCTCCAACCCTCGGACCTTCTGGCCGCTATGACTGGGATTTCTTGGTCCAGCCCCGTGATCTCATTGGCATAGAGAACTCCCAGTGGCAGCTGGGGAGTGGACAAACTGTCCCCACCAATAGAGACTGGCAACTCATCAGCACCTCAGCTCGGGGTCCCGTACCTAGTGAGTGTTGGGGTGGGGGGAGGACTTGACCCCAGGCCTCCTGACTCCAAGGCTGACATTCCACCCAGTGCACCTTGCTTCCCTTTCATCAGAACAACAACAACAGGAAATAGTGAGAATGAGGTTCCTAATAATAATAACAATAATGCTTGAATGCAGCCTACGTTGAGATGTTTCATTTCTTTGTGGGAAGGCTGGAGCTTGGCTTGGCCCCCACGGCCTTGGACGCTGCTGAAGGCTGAGGCTAGGGGCCCTGGACAGGGCGAGGCTCCGTTGAAGAGGCCGACTTCGAGGCCAGGCCAGCTCAGACCAGAGGGAGAACACTCATTTCAGGGAGGAGCAGGGAAGAGAGCATTTTGGAGGCGAGGGGGGGGATACTGAGGCCTACTTTCTTTGGTTAGTTAAAGCACTTCATGGATAATTTCATGTCTCTGTGTTTGTGTCTCATTCCCCTTCCCCCTGCTCACTATGAGCCTCAAAAGGACAGGGACCCTGGCCTAGCTTAACTTTGCTTAAGCACGCAATGAGTGCTTCATAGAAATATATTTTTTAATTAATCAAATGAGTGAATAATAATAAGTTAACATTTCCATGATTTTACAAATATCATCTCATTTGATCCTCGCAACAACCCTGGGAGGTAGCTGCTATTATGATCCTCATTTTACAGATGAGGAAACTGAGGCAGACAATAGTTAAGTGACTTGTCCAGGGCCACATAGCTAGTAAGGCGAGATTTGAACTTGTCTTCCTGAATGACTGAATGAGCTGGCCTGTCACAGAATGAATTCCCACAGAGGCCTCCTGCTCTCATCTGAACCCCTTCCCTGCTGTTTCCTCTTAGAGGTCACAGGATTTATAGTGACCAGGAGTCGCTTCAGAGACCTTCACTTGAAAGAGGAGAAAACCAAGGGCCAGAGAGGGGAAGGCCTTGGCCCAGGCTCTGTTAGGGAGAGTTTGGGGCAGCTCCCTAACTCACACCCATTCTGCCCTCATTCATCTGGAAGGAAGTTGGAAGGGAGCGTGAACTGGGGACTTCTTGAAGGCATGAATGTGAGTGACACACAAAGAATTATGGAGAAGGTTAGAGAAAAGATGGCGAATCCAGGAGGGAAAATAGCAGCTCCCTGAGAGCAGGAACGGCACTGGCCTGGGCTTAGCATGCCCAGTGCCTGGCATGGTGCCGGGCACATCAAGGATTCCAAAATTAAGTGACTGTTGAGGAGGAAGGAACCCAATGGGGCAGGGAGAGCCAGGGCCGCCAGGCCTCCCATGAGTGCCAGCCCTGCACATCGGGGGGATTTTCCAAGGAACAGCTGGTTGGTAGCCACTTTCAGAGCACACCAGACCAGACTTAGGGGAAGTGTAGCGGTCCCTAGGAGGCATAATCATTCAGAGAGAGCCATCCCCATTGGAGGCTGGTACTGGTGGATACTGGCCCTGGGCCCCCCAAACACATCTCAGGATCATAGAGTTAGACCCGAATGGGGCCTCAGAGACCATCTAGTTCAACAGCTCCCCCCCCTCATTTTCCAGATGAGGACACTGAGGCCCAGAGAGAGATTAGGTGACTTGCTCCAGGTCACAGAGGTGGCAAGTAGAGATAGGATTTAAACCCAGGTCCTGTCTCTCCAACACCAGGGCTCTTTCCACTACACCACACTACCTCTCCTCCGCTACATTATCTATCTGAAATTTGCCACTACAACTTTCTCCCATTGTACCCCCAGTGCTCAGCATTGTGCCTGGCACATGGTAGGCACTTAATAAATACTTGATTACTTGCTTTTAGTGCTGTCCTCTGGGGCCAAGCAGAACTGTGTCTACAGATGACCCCAAAAGGAACCGGGGAGAGTATCCTACACAGGAAACTGAACCCATAACTTTGGCCTCAGTAGTACCACATTTTCACTAACCCAACAGGTGACCCTGGGCAAGTCCCCCCCCCACCTCTTTCTGCCTAGTTTCCTCTTCTACAAAATGAAGGGCATTGGAGTTGGTGAGCTCTCAAATCCTAAGCTCCTTCCCCTGCCGTAGCCTCAATTTCTCCATATGTGAAAGCAAGAGGCTGGACTCAAAGCCCTCTTCCCTTCCAGTTCTGAAATCCTAGCATTCTCCACTTCTCTCTCCCCTGGCTGCCTTGAGCAAGCAGCTCTGACTTCCAAGAGGAAAGGTCACATTCTCAGTCTGGGATCTCATCACTCCCACCCAAGTGGTCCTGAGGGTTTTCCATGACGGACCAAACCCACATGACTGGCAAAGCCCCAGGCTCTGGGTGTCCTCCCTCCTTTCCATCTCAGCTACTTCTTGAAAAAGTTGCCTCAGGTTTGGCCCCAGAGGCTGTTTACAGACCCTGGGCCGAGGCTACCCTCCCCATCTACTCCCTGGCTCCAGGCAGAAAAGGGATCCGGGAGAGAGGCAAGATGTCTGCGCCAGTGTGTGTGTGAGTGATTGGAGATGTGAAAGCATATGTATGTATGAATGTGCATGTGGATGAGTGAGTATGAATATATTGAGTGTGAGTGACTGTGTGGGAAAGCATTTGTGAGTGTGAAAATTTGTGTGTGCGTGTGTGTGTGTGCACGCATGTGCACGAACGTGAAGGGAGTGGGCAGGGGGCCTCAATCGTCTCATCCAGCTCTGATATTATGACTCTATAACCCAACGAGCCTATGTGAGAGTGTGTGAGACAGACAGAGACCAAAATTCAAAAGGACCAATGCCAGGGCTGAAGAACAGAGAACAGAGAGTGACTGGGCTCCATGGCCCAGGTGGAGGGGGCAGGGGAGCTTCTGGGGGAAGGTAGCCTTGACCCTGGCTGCTGGGGCTGAGACCCAGAGCTGCCCTCAGCTCCCGAGCTCCCGCCTTGGGCCCCTTCTGCTTGGCCCTTGAGGATGGTGAGGAGGTGGAAGAGATGACCTGAAAGGAAGGGGAGAAGGCGTAGGTTGTACGTATCTGAGTACCTGCCTGTGAACAAATACGTCAACAATTCCCTTTGGGAAGCATCCTTCCAAGGGCAGCTGGCCGGTGCCCCCCCCCCCGCCACCTCCGTCCCCTCTCTCGTCACTAACTCTCCATCTTCTCTCTCCCCTCGCTTCCTCAGCCAGGCCAAGCCACCCAAGGGTGGGCCTACTCCCAGAGGGCCTTTGGGGGCAAGCCTGGCCCCTGGCCGAGCTTCAGCTCCCAGCTCTCCAGAACAGAATCCCAGAATGTCAGAACTGGAAAGATCCTCAGAAGCCATCTAGCCCAGCCCCCTCATTTTACAGATCGGGAAGATGAGGCCCAGAGAGAGGATGGGACTTGCTACATCTCTTCCCCGGGCCCCTAATGCTCTTACCTGGTCCATTGACCACAGTTGCCCACAGTGGTCCCTGGAACACCTCTCCCTTTTATGCTATTGCTATAGCTAGAGAGAAGGGGAATCCACAGTACCCAGGCCCCTGGGCAAGACAGTGGCCAAGCCAGCCCAGTGGCCAATCTTGAGTGGCCCCACCTTGCTGCCTGAAAGTTTGCCCCCCCCAAAGGAAGGAGGGCTTGGCTCAGTATACTCACCAGTCTCCTTTAGTACTTCTGTAGACTGCCGCCATCCCCGGAAACCATTTGACAAACAGCCTGGCTCCAGAGCACCACAGCTGGGCCAGCACAGCTGGGAAGCTTTAGGGGCCTGCCTTCCATAACCCTGACTAACCAAGACATCGAAATATATGAGTGTGCTCTCTCTCCCCTGACCCCCAGTCTGTCTGCCTCATCTGGTAAGGTGGGCGGCCCCCAGTGAAATGACCCATCTGTGTTCTGTGGCCCTGCCGCTATGTCACCAAGGGCCACCCGCCGCCACCACCCAGGCCAGCACAATCCTCCCCAAACCCAGCCAGAAGCACAGCCAAAAAGCCCAGAAGAAGAGAAGGGAGGAAGGAGGAAAAGAGGAAGGGAGAGGCAGCAGCCCCACTCCATCCTTTGAAAACTCTAGCCACTGAGGTGCCCGCAACCCACGCCCTGCCCCCATCCACCTACCCAGCTAGGTAAGCTAGGGAAGCCAGACACACGCCTCAGGGTCCAGGGAACAGTGAGCCCTTGGGCTCTAGGCCTCAGTTTCCCCCGCTCCCCTGGTGAAATGAAAGCATTGGTGCCAAAGCCCTCTGTCATCCTGTTGCTTCCTCACTCACACACACTCATTTACTCATCTGTTCACTCACTCATTCACTTACTCCCGTACTCACCCTCACTCCCTCGCTCCCTCCCATGCTCACTACTTTGGGGAGGGGGGGGAGTCCTCACTGGCAGAGACTACACTGTAACCAAAAGGAAGCCAGCAAGGTGAGGCCTGGAAGGAGGGGAGGGAAACTAACCAGCCTCCTCTGCGAAGTCGTAACTGGGATGCCTTGGTTTTAGGACATCTGCGACAACCCACACCTGTTTGTGGGTGGAATCAGCTCCCACGACTTACACCAGGGAAAGCTGGGAAACTGCTGGTTCGTAGCAGCCTGTTCTTGTCTGGCCCTCCAGGAATGTCTCTGGAAAAAGGTAATTCATGTCCTCGGCCATGGAGCAGCGTGCACACACTGCCAAGTGCCTTCCAGCCTATGATGGGGTTTGTCCCAGTGATGGGGACCAGCTGCTCTCTTCCTCTCGCTGAGGCTGAAGCAAGTGGGCTTGCCTTGGGCTCCCGGGGCCCAGGAAGAGGCTGCGTTGGGGTTAGACTTCCACACTGTCCCAGGGAGGCTGGGGACAAGAAACCGGGAGATGAGCTTGGGCAGTGCCATGTCCTGGAGGCCGAGGGCCAGACTCAGCACATAGATATCAGTGAGTTAAGGAGGCAATGAGTGGGTGAAGGAGTGAAGAAACGAGTAAATGAATGAATGTGTGAGCGAGTGAGGGGATGAGATGGTGGGTGGCCTAGATGCAAGTGGCCCCTTGTAGCCCTGGGCCTGGCTCTGTCTTCAGGTGCCCATCAGAACTGGTGAGAATTGTGTACTCACACTGGGTACACCCCTTCTCTGTCTCTGGCTGGCAGAGTCCTTTCCTGGCACTCTGGTCAGTGGCGCCCAAGGATGCGGCCGAGGCAGCCCAGGGATGGCTGTGGTCTCCTCACGGGTACATTGGCATGGCAGAAGGAGGGGGTGTCAGCTGCTGCTGCTATTGCCCATCCTTTGTGCCCAGGTGATCCCCAAGGCAAAGGAGCAGGACTGGGACTGCCGAAGGCCTGAGAAACATGCCGGAATATTCCACTTCCGCTTCTGGAGTTTTGGTGACTGGACTGACGTGGTGATTGACGACCGGCTGCCCACCATCAATGGGGAACTGATATTCTGCCACTCTAATGTGCCCAATGAATTCTGGAGTGCCCTGCTGGAGAAGGCCTATGCAAAGTAAGCCCTTGGGGGAGGCTTCACCCTGGGTACCCTTCACCCTGGGCACCCTTCACCCTGGGCTTCATGCCCAAACACCTGCATCTGAGCCAGCTCCCCACTCCCTTCACTGTTTGCAAGGGACAGCTGAGGCTCAGTCAGGGCAAGGAGTTCCATGTCGTAGATCATCACCTCAGACACCATGGGGTTCCATCCCCTCAACATCCAAAGAATAAGGCAACATTGCTTTGACAAGAGTGAACCCTGAGCGCCTGGGCTAGATTTGAAGGGCCCAGCACCTCTTTGTCCCCCTGCCATGGGGGCATGGGTGGCCCAGCCTTGGAAGCTATACTCCAAGGACATGGGGTCTGGCCTTCCTGGCCTCCAATTCACATGTCCTGGCACATTAGGGAGTTCCATGCTTTGCTGCCACTCTCAAGAGTTCTAGACCACAAATCCTTCTGGGAAGGGAGTCCCAGGCAGGGAGCAGAATTACCAAGGCCTCCCTGTGTAAGGAGGGGCCCAGCACCCACTGCCTCCTTTCCTCTCCTTGTGTCTGCCCTCTACTTCCGACTTCTGCCCCCAGGCTAGTTGGCTGTTACGAGGCTCTCGACGGCGGGAATACCGCAGATGCCATGACGGACTTCACTGGGGCTGTGTCTGAATCCATCGACCTGAGGAAAGGCAATTATGGCAAGTTCCTCCTGGAGCAGACCAAGCTCTTTGAGGATCTGCTCAAGGCCCACGACAGAGGAGGCCTCATCAGCTGCTCCATCCTGGTACATTGTCTCACAAGCACTGAATGAGTTCATGCATGCATGAAATGAATGCGTGAGTGTGTGAATGAATGAAGTGACTGTGTGAATGAGGCAGGGCAGGGGGCAGGAGGGCACAGTCCTAGCGGCAAAGCGCCACATCCAGACATATTGCACAGCCCCTGAGTCAGGGAAGGAAAGCCAAAGAACACCATGGGGACCCGCGTGGAAGCCATTAGGGAAGAGGGAGCCAGTCCCTCAACGGGGGGCCCCCCAGGAATGCCAGGACCTGGGGGAGCCAGCTCTGAGCATTAAGGGCAGGCAGCAGGTGATCCAGGGAGCACTGCCTCAGTCTCACCCCTAGATCCACCGAGATAAGTCTGGCTACCACCTCCTTCCTTGGCACGAAGTAACCAGTGGCATAAGGCTGGCCTGAAAGCGAGCTGCTTGCTCATGCCAGGCTTCTGGATGTAGCCCAGAACGGAGCCGTGCCCAGACTGAGAGCTCCAGAATGAGACTGGGTCCAAGGTCAGCTGGCCTGCACAGGCTGGCCAGTCTAAGCCATCCTAGAAAAGCATTCTGGGCCCATCACCTCCTCTGCACGTGAGGAGGCTGCCCATAGCCCTTTGGGAAGGTTTTCCTTAGAGTGAGCCTCGCTCTGCCTGAGCCCTCCACACTCCAGGCCTTCACACAGGGCTCCCTCTAAGATCTTTACAAGAGATTCCTCCAGGCTCTGGTCAGATCAGAGGCTTCTGCCCTCCCATCCTGACCCAGCAGATCCCCTGGATAGAGAATGGAGATCAGAGTGGGAGGCATGTGAGTGCGTGTGTGTGTGTGCGCGCGTGTGTGTGCGTGCGTGTGTGTGCGTGTGCGTGTGCGTGTGTGTGTGTGTGTGTGTGTGTGTGTGTGTGTGTGTGTGTGTGTGTGTTGGAGGTACAGGGGAGGTGAGTTGGAAGGTTGGAGGCCTAACACTCTCTCTGCCCTTCTGGGTTCTCTGGATTGTAGCCTGACATGGCCAATGAGCGTCAAGGGACCACTGAGCAGGGTCTAGTGAGGGGCCATGCCTACTCAGTGACTGACATCCGCAAGCTGCGCCTTGGAGGACGACTCCTGGCTTTCTTCAAGGCGGAAAAGCTCTTCATGATCCGGATGAGGAACCCATGGGGAAAGCGAGAATGGAATGGGCCCTGGAGTGACAGGTGAGCCCTCCGCCCCGGGCCCTCCGCCCCAGGCCCTCCCTTGGCCTCAATGAGGCCGCAAAGAATCACAATCGCTCTCATTTCTCCACCATTCTCCACATTACAAAGCGCCCTCCTCATAACACTAGCAGGACGTAGGCCGTAGGCAGTGCTGGTATCACAGACAGAGTAAACTGAGGCCCAGAGAAGTGAGATGACTTGTCCATCATGGTGCCCTTATACCACCAGTGCTCTTTCTACTGTACTCTGCTTCTGCTTTGGGCATTGACCCTGGACCTCTTGGGCACGTCATGGGCAAGCAGGAGAGGCTGAGAAAGCAGGTCTCTCATTTGTCAAAGGAACAAGATGATCACAAGGATTCCCTCTACCTCTGAAAACTGATGTTCCAGGTCCAGTGTCCTCTGTTCTGTGCCCTAAGTCCCCTTCTGGCTCTGATGTTCTAGGTCCTAAGTTGGTGAGAAAAGTAGCAGGCCTTCCCGGGGCTGAGGTCCATGGAAGGAGCATGAGGTCCAAGGGGAGGTCCATCCTCTCTGCCCTGGGCTCATGGTGGTCTTGACCATGAATCTATCTAAACCCTCCGTTCTCTGTCCTTTAGCTCTGACGAGTGGCACAGAGTGAGCGAGGTGGAGAAGAAGAACATGGGACTCAGTGTGACGGATGACGGAGAGTTCTGGTGAGGATTGGGAGGCAGCAAGATGGCTCAGTGGATAGAGCTCTGGGCCTGGAATCGGGAAGACCTGAGTTCAAATGTGACCTCAGACACTGACTAGCCATGTTACCCTGGGCAAGTCACTTAACCTCTGTTTGGTGACTCTGCCTGCCTCAAGTCTCCCCCTACTCCAGTCTATCCTTCTTGCAGCCATCAAAGTGATTTTCCTAAAGCACAGGTCTAATCAGGTCACTCTCCTGCTCAGTAAACTCCTGTGGCTCTCTATTGTTGCCAGGAACAAATGCAAAACGCCCTGTTTGGCATTCAAAGCCCTTCATAACCTGGCCCCTCCTAGCTTTCTAGTCTTTTTAAACCTCCCTCTCTGACATGTACTCTTCAATCCAGCTACATGTACATGTTCCTTGCGCTCCATTTCCAGTCTCCACACCTTTGCACTGGCTGTGGCCCAGGCCTGAAAGGCTCTCCCTCCTCACCTGTGCCCTTTATTTTCCTTAGCTTCCTTCAAGTCTCAGCTCAGATCCCACCTTCTACAGAAAGCCTTCCCTAGTCTTCTCACTGCTAGTGCCTTCCCCTCTGACATGACCTTTCAGCTGTATTTTTCTCTATCTTGTGTATGTCCATTTGTTTGTATGGTGCTTTCCCCTATTGGGCTGTGAACTCCTAGAAATAGAAACTGGTTTTGCCTTTCCTAGTCTCCTCAGTGCTTAACACAGTGCCTGACACATAGTAGGTGCTTGATAAATGCTCATTGAATGGCTGCCTGACCGGAGGTAGGTGCTATTTTTATCACAACTTTAGAGCTGAAGAAACCAAGGCAAAGACGGCCAATGACTTGCCTAGGGTCACATGGCTAGGGAGTGTCTGAGGAACGATTTGAACTTGGCACTTCCTGACTCCAGGCCCAGCCTCTAGCCATTATCCTACATTTAGATATGTACAGTTTTTATTTTAAATAGTATTTTATTTTTTTCCTAGCCTACATTCATATCGAGCTTTAAAGTTGGTAAAGTGCCTTAGAGACATTCCCTCACTATGTGCCAGATGGAGTGATTTACCGATGGTCACATGGCTAGTAGGTATCTGAGGTAGGACCCGGGTCCAGGGCTTCCTGACTCTGAGTCCAGGACCCTCTACCAATTACACTCTGTGCCGCTCAGAGAAAGCATTCTGGACAAGTTGAAGAAGGAGGGGTGCCTTCATGCTGGGAGGGCTCAGCAGGTAGAGGAGGGAGGGTATTCCAGGGGTGGGGGCCAGAAGAGAGGGAAGAGAGAGATCAGGAATCAGGGAGCAGTGCTGTGTGGCTAGAATAGAAGACAGGAAGAAAAGGAGCGGGAAATGAGGCTGGAAAGGTGGGAGGGAGGCTGGAGGGAGTCAGCTTGTGGTGAGCCTTAGAGAGGAATTTCTCTCTGATCCCAAGGCTGTGGGGAGTCACCTTCTCAGCCCCAGACCTTCTGCATGGAGGATGGATCGGTGAGACCAGGGGAGACTGGGGCCAGGCTGGAGGCCAGGAAAGCAGTCGGGCCCAGGAGAGCGAGGCCAGAGTGGATCTGAGGCCGTAGGAACAGCCCAGGCCCCTGATCCTCATGCCAGACCCTAGAGCCACTAAACTGTCCTAGGCCCCTCGAGGCCTAGGACAAAGATTGTTCTTCTAGACACATCCCTGGGATCAAGTGCCTCTGGCCCAGCCCCTTGCCATTACAGAGGATGAGGCTGAGTCCCAGCATGTAGAAGGGCCTGAGGCAAAGGTCACGTAGCAAGTGAGTGGCAGAGCCAGGGTTTGGGCCTAGGGCTTTTTCTGCTACCTCCTGCTATAGCCTTAGAACGTGGGAACTGAAGGACAGCCCAGCAAAGAGGAAGGAGTATTAGGGCTTGGGTTGGAATCCTGACTCTCTCACTGACTCCCTGTGTGACAGAAGGCAAGTCCCTTCCTATCTCTAGGCCTCAGTTTCTTTCTCTGTAAAATGAGCTGGCCATACTGGGTACTTCTAATAATCCATCTTGGCTCTAGAGAATAAATAAGGAAATGCACCTCACTCCTTTTCGTAGGGAGGTGGTGGGCTGTGGGTATAGAATGCAGAAGTGAGTAGCAAGGTGAAGGTGTATATCCAGAAACAATTATGTTGTAACAAAATAAAAGGCAACAATAACATTGTTTTTTTAGGGAAAAAACAGAGAAGATTGGACTAGAGCAGGGGTGGGGAACCTTTTATTATGGTGATTTGTTCTGTGAAGTTTGGGTTCGGTCAAAGGGCCGCACCCAAGGACCTAGAGGCCACAGGTTCCAAAGGGCTGCACTTGAGGACCTAGAGGGCCATGTATGGCCTGGAGGCCACAGGTTCTGCACCCCTGGACTAGACCATCTCTAAGGTCCCTCCCAATCCTGAATTCTCTGAGACTCTGATCTTCTGCTCCGCTAAGCCCACGGCCTCAGAGACGTCCGGTATGTTCAGTGCTTTCCCATGGCTCTCCCCCTCAGGATGGCCTTTGATGACTGGTGTAACAACTTTACTGATGTGGACATCTGCCGCAACCTGAACACCTCCATCTTCAGCATCCACAAGACCTGGGAGAAGGCCACAGTGCGTGGAGCTTGGCTCCATGATGAGGACCCTCTGATCAATCGGGCTGGAGGCTGCTTCAACAACCGTGCGACCTTCTTACAGAACCCCCAGGTTGGAGTCCCTTGCCTTCCCTCCACCCCCCTCCAGCACCGTGCTCCCTTCTCAGGCTTTTAGCCATCCTTACAGGCATCATGGGCGCCCCATTCCTCTTCTGCATGGCCCCTAGTGGCCTTCCCTCCTGTGTTCTCTACTCTCAGGCCTGCTTCAGGCAGCCTGGGGTGGTCACCTGGCAAGGGCCTATTGCTATTTCACTCGTGCTGACCAAGGAGGAGTCCGAGAGAAAATAGCCAGTGGTATCCCAAGGCCCTGCAAGTCCTAAAGCGGAACATCACACTTGTAAGGCTGGGCCAGCCCCTTGGGGACCCGGACACGTTCATGCCTGAAACTCCAGTGGCAAATGCAGGCTGACTTTCTGTATTCCAGTGACCTGATGCAGTAAAGCTTCTTAAGCGGGGTGCCACTTTGCCTGGAGATATTCAAATTACTGTGGGAAAAGATCTAGGGGGTCCCAGTGGATCACAAGTTCAATATGAGCCAAAAAAACAAACGTGATCTAGAGCTATGTTCTAAGAGGCAGGATGCCCAGAAGGGGAAAGTGGCAGGCCCACGAAGCTCTGCCTTTGTCAGACTCCTTGTGAAGTGTTATGGTCAGTTTTGAGGAAGGTCACTACAGAGTTAGAGCAGATTCAGAGGAGTGTGACCAGGATGGGGAGGGGACCAGAGACCAAGCCACGGAGGGGATCATTTAAGAGAAGGCTCAGGGGGCCAGGTTAGCTCCAGTCAAGCATTTGAAGGGCTAGCCCACGGAAGAGGAATTGGGCCCAGGGGAGAGAACTAGGCGCAGCCGCAGGGGGAGAGGAGGAAAGCTAATTAACAACAGTCTTTTTATTTGTTTTTTGTTTTTTTTGTTTTTTTGTTTTTGTTTTTTAGGCAGTTGGGGTTAAGTGACTTGTTCAGGGTCACACAGCTAGTAAGTGTCAAGTGTTTGGTCTGAGGCCGGATTTGAACTCAGGTCCTCCTGACTTCAGGGGCGGTGCTCTATCCACTGCGCCACCTAGCTGCCCCTAACAACAGTCTTTAAAATGGAGTCAGGGCAGGAGCAGCCTGTTCCAAACTAGAAGCTCAGAGAATTTAGAGCTGGAAGGGCCTTTAGTCCAACCCCTTCATTTTACAAAAAAGGAAACTGAGGCCCAGGGAAAGGAAGTGGCTTTGCTCAGGTGACATAAATGGACCATGGAGGTGGGCCCCTCCCCCACTCCAGACTGTCTGCGTCCTTCGCAGCTGCACACATATATCTAGCAGGGACAGACACGGCCAAACCGTGGAAAGCTAGCCAAGGAGGTTCTGTCCAAGCTGGGATCAGCCCTTCGGACCCCTTGGAGTACAGCCTGTCCATGAAGGCCCCTTGGCCTGCCCTCTCCCCACCCCCACACATACCAAAGGGAGAAGAGAAGATGACCTGTCAAGATAGAGGCCAGGTGGCATGGGCCAGCCAGGGGCCCTTGAAATGAGGCAGCTCCCTCCAGAGCCCTGGGGTCATCAGAGCCTGAAGAAGAGATCCAAAGGGTTAACATTCGGAGGAGGGGTGAGACTCTCTCTGTTAGGCCCCAGCAGGCCTTGGCAGGAGTGATGGGGAGAAGAGGCAGCTCTGGGCCAGGCACCAGGGAGGATTTCCTAATAGGGAAAGCGGGCCCCAAGTGGGAGAGATTCCCCATCCCGGGAGGTCCTTAAGCAGAGGCTGGACAACCCCTGGGTGGGGATGGGAGAGAAGGGATTCTTGGGTGTCTCTTCAACTCTGAAATCCTGTGACTGCATCTTTGTTGATGTGTTTATCAAGCTATATATGTAGCTATGTGTATGTCTCAGGCTGCGTGTGTGTGTGTGTGTTTGTGCGTGTGTGTGTTTGTGCATGTGTGTGTACATGGGGTGGGGTGGGGACACACGTGCATGCCTGTCCTTCCTTGTAGGTCTCAGGGACAGAGCAGTAGACAGCTAGTTTCCCGATAAGCAGGGTGGATGGATGGAGGGGCAGGAGACAAGACACAAAACAGAACGTGCTGGAAGAAAGATCTACGTCAGACATACCCCCTTCCCCCCAACCTCCTGCTCAGTTTGTTTACAAACTGCCCCCGATCTTTTCCCATGTTTTTGAAATTAGCTCAAGAGACTATGGCCCACGGCTCCGGCTCCGGCTCCGGCTCCTCCATTTTCCTTGATCTTGACCCTTCTCTCCCCTCCTTCCCCCTAATGAGGTCTAAAATTTGCTCCTGCCTTGGCATTGTTTACCCACTTAACCTACTAATAACCAGCAGGCCTGTCTGCTTGTCACCTATCCAAGAGCCATCTTCACCATTATTCTGGGGAGAAACCAAGTGATTGCATTTCAAGTTGGCTGTGGACCTTGGCAGAGGTCCTGTCCCTCTCTGAACCTCAATGTTCCCCTTGGTTAAAAAAAAAGAATGGTTTGGGCTGAATGCTCTCCAAAGGAATTCCCAGCTCTGACATTTTTTGTTCTTGGAAATCTTCCTGTCTCTGGGCCTTAGTTTCCCCCTACCCCCATAAAATGTCATTGGCAACAACTGGAGAGGAGGGGCCGTGGGCGGAGCTGTTCATCTTTGGTCCTTCCCATCCATCCCTTCAGTGTCACGACTGCCCACTGGAAGCACTGTCTCCTGGGCTCTGGGAGGTATATGGACCGTGGCTGTCTTTGCCATCTTTGCCTATCCATGGCCTTTACCCACCGGACCACAGCTGGGCCACCGGGCTCTCCAGGAGCAGCATGCTAGGCTTTTCCTAAGAGAAATCGGGTCTTGACTGGTTCCATTTCCCAAGTCCATGCCTGGCCACACAGTAACCCCTTCCTGGTCCTGTGGATACTGACCGTCCCCCAATACCTTGCCATGGCATAAGGGCACCCCAGGCTCTAACAACTCCTTGCAAGCTGGAAAGGCCTTGAGTATAGGCCAAATGATGGTCTGTATGCCCGCTGGCCAAGAACCAGCCTGCCTCAGTTTTGAAAGGCTCATCACTAGAGCACCCTAAGGGGGTCACGTTTTTCAGCCACTCCAACTCTCAGAGACCTTCTGCTAAGTGTGATGAGGTAACTGATTTCCTTGGAGTCCTGTGATCTCTGCCTGTTCTCCTGGGCCTGGCAGCCTGCTGCTCACGGGGGCTACGCAGCGAGAGGGAGTGTGATAACACTCTTCCCTCAGAGTGTGCCAGGGTACAGTTGGCCTGCAGGTCTAGGAGGACGATTCCAGACAGAATCATTTCCACAGCGGTTTCCCACGTGTTGAGAGCCTGCTGGCCCAGAATGTCAGGGAGGGACTTTCAAGGCCATGTTGTCCAAATGCTGCCTATGACAGAGGAGGCGATGGAAGCCTGGGGAGGGGAAAGAGATGATTCTCACAAGTGACATTCCTCTGAAGCCCGCTTTGCTCCCAACAATCTCTGGGGGGTGAGCAGCACCAGCGGGGAGAGTAGCCCCCGGCCCGGGGACACGCAGTAAGGCAGCTAAGGAGACGGCCATCCCTGCCTTGCAAACCACTGACTAAGGTACTTCTTCTTCATCTCCCCTTAGTATGTCTTCAACATCAATAAGGAAGAGGACAAAGTCCTCATTTCCCTGCAGCAGCGTGATCGGCGCCCTTACCGCAAGGATGGGAGGGGAGAAAACTACATCATTGGCTTTGAGATCTTCCGGGTAAGGGCAGGGGAAGAGAGGGCCCCCCTGGGTCTGCTGCAGCTTCTCTCCCTGCCCCGCCCCCCCGGCCTGGGCCCAATGCTCTCTGTGCCTCCCACCAGGTGGAGTTGAATCGCGAATACCGCCTCCATCGGCTGCAGGTCCAGGAGAGGGTGGTGGGCTCCACCTACATTGACTCCCGCACGGTGTTTCTGAGAACCATCCTGAAGAAGGGCCGCTATGTCATCATCCCCACCCTGTTCCAGCCTGGTGACATCAGCGAATTCATCCTAAAGCTGTTCACTGACGTTCCCTCGGAGCTCAGGTCCTCTTCCACAGGGGCCCGAGATTTGAAGGCTAGAAACGAAGGGCCTTGAGTCCAACCCCCTTGTTCTCCAGAGGGAGAACTCAAGGCCCGTAGCACTGAAGCCACTTGCCCCCAGGTAGTAAGTAAGTGGGCAAAGCTAGGTTCCAAGACAGCGCTCTTTCCACAACCTCCCCACCATTTCCCAGAGCTCACTGTGGGAGCTACAGGAGAGAAGAGAGCACGGGGCTTAGAGCCAGGGGGCCCAGCTTGGCGGCCCAACTCTTTTACTACCTTCACAGGCCTCAGCTTCCTCCTCAGCAACAGGGTGGGATTAGATGAGTTCAGAAGTCCCTTAGAGCTGTGGCTCTATGAATTTGACCCTTGCCGAGGTCGACTAGCCAGTGAGTGGTGGGATTTTAACCTAGCTTCTCATTCCCTTGCAGGGAACTGACGCTGGACAAGCCCGAGCCCTGGTGTGGGAGCTTCCTGTGCGGCTATCCCCAGCGAGTCACCCAGCTGAGCGTTCACAGCGTGGAGGGCCTCGACAGACAGAACGGCTCCAGAAGTACGGGTCAAGATGGGGCGGCTGGCTTGGAATTGGGGCAGGAGCAGGGCTCGGGCATCAGCCCCAGGCCTGGGGCAGGCTAGGCCAGGCCTCAGCAGCAGGAAGGAGGGAAGGAGGAGTCCAGAGGAGCGAGGCAAGGAGGAGGCTGTACTGGCCTCCAAATGCCAGCTTTGCTGCTTAATGAAGGTGGCAGTTGACATTTGCTTGCAAGATACTTTCCAGACATCGTTTATCTCATTTGAGTCTCACAAAAGCCCAGTGATGTAGATGCTACAAGATTGCACCCATTTCCTAGATGAGAAAACTGAAGGTCAAAGAGGCTAAATGACTTGAGCATGGTCTCCCAGCTAGTAAGTATCAGAGGCAGGATTAAAACCCAAGTCTTCAGCATAGTGCATCTGCCTTCTTCTCATGAGCTGTGGGAACCTGGGTAAGTCAGAGCCCTGGTTCCCTCCTCTGTAAAACAAGGGGGCTGTCTCAGCAGTGTCTTCCAGCTCTACAGTCTAGGGATCGAGGGTCAGACTGGGGAGGGCATCGGAAGCCATGGCGTAGGTGGGTGGCTGGGTAGCTGCCCAGCAGTGCCCTGCCTCTGGCTGAGATCCAGCTAAGGGCAAGACCCGCTTTCAGGGGGCTGGGCTCTATGCCCAGGACTTGCCTCAGGCCCTCTGGAGTAGCTGCCAACAATTGTGGTCACCAGCGGCAGCGGCCCACGTGCTGCCCAGGGCCAGCGGCTCAGTCCCTGCCAACAAGCAGCTCCCTCTGGCCAGCCTGCTGCCAGTGGCTGGGTCAGCTTTGTTTTGGCTGGTGCCCAAGAATGGGAAGGCTTGGGGTCTAGGGAGTGCCCAATGTGTGTCTGCGAGAGGTGGGGGGGAACCTTACAGTGTCACAGTGTGAGAGCCAAAAGGGCCCTAGAAACATCCTTGTCTGACACTCTGATGTTACACTGGAGGAAACTGAGGCCCAGAGAGGAAAAGGGCCTTGGTCAAAGTCACACAACGAGTTAATGGCAAAACCCAGATGCCAACACGAACTCAAATGCAAGGCTTGTAGCCAGAACCCCCCCCCCCAGTGATGCCAGGCCCCCGAGGCAGACAAGTCACATGAACTTTGTTTCAGGTGCCAACCCCTACCTCATCATCAAGTGTGGGAGGGAAAGTGTCCGCTCCCCTGTACAGAAAGAAACCTTCGATGCTGTTTTTGACACCCAGGCTATATTCTACCGCAAGAATCTCAAGGATCCCATTGTGGTACAGGTGAGAAGGGGGTAGAGGGGGAGCCAGAGGGCAGGGGGCTGCAGACAAGGCGTCCCATCATGGCAGACCCCAAGCGTCCCATGACAGAGTCAGGCCCAAACACCAAGGCCTCACACACCTCCATCCTCACAAATTCAGGTCTGGAACAAAAAGCTTCTGTGTGACCAGTTCCTGGGACAAGTGACCCTGGTAGGTGAGCCAGGTGACTCTCGGGAGCTGAGGACCCTCCAGCTTCGGGATAAAGGTGCTCCAGACGCCCCACCTGTGACCGGGCACCTCAGCCTCAAGGTGGTATCCACCGACAACCTCATGGAGCTCTGAAAGCCTGGCCCCGGCCTCCCTCTGGCACTCTCCCTGGCCGAGCCCTCTGTTTTCTTTTTTGAGGGCCAGAGGGAGGAGGGAGGGGAGGGGGGAGGGGGGAGGGGGAGGGGGAGAGGGAACACTCCAGGCCCGGTTCGGCTGAGCTGGGTTGGAAATGATGAGCAGGTAAAAGCCCTCCTGAGCCAAGCCTGCTGATCAGTCACAAATCATTTGAAAAGCCCCAAATTGTAAGCAGCCCAATTTCCTCAGTCCATGGGCCAGGCCCACCTGGCTCTGTCCTGGTGATTAAGGCAGTAGCCAGGGCAGGGCAGGCCTCAGGGCTCCCCATAGAGTTGAGGGATGAAACCCCACACTAACCTAGCTCTCATCCTTCTGGCACTAACCAAGCTTGCTTCGAAACCGCCCTGCAAGGTAGAGAACCAGGAAGTACTATCATGACCATTCACGGAAGGAAAGAAAGGAGGCCCAGAAAAGGGTGGCCCCCATGCCAAGGCACAGTGGGCCAGAGATAGCAGGAGCTCCTCCAAGGCTTTGGGGGGCACACAGGAAGGAGGGGGATGGGAAACGATAGTAATAACTGACATTTATATAGGGCTTCCAACGCGCAGTGACAGGGCTTCTCACCAGTCATCATCGGCACCATGTTACAGATGAGGTAGGCGAGGCCTAGAAGGGTGAACAGGTCTTCCTGGCTCCCCCTCCGGTCCTCTGGTCTCTGGGCTAGCTGCCGCCTAGGAGCGGAGCTCAGATGAGCCTCGCTAAGGTGGGAACCCTTCGGGGGCCTTCAGGAGGCAGCTCTGGCAAGCAGGTAAGAGCCTGGAGTTGGGAGTCTGGAGGCCAGCTACAGCTACCTATTTGCTATGTGACATCAAGCAAGTCATTTCTTGGGAGGAAAACACTAGGCCCAGAGTCAGAGGCCCTCTGGGGAATCTCTGGCTCCCTCACATCCAACCAGTGGGAACAGGGCCCAGCTCCTTCCCCACTCAGGACCTCAGTCTCCCACCTGTGTACAATGGAGAAGGCTTTGACCCAGCATCCCTTGAGAGAGAAAACTCGAGGACAAGCAGTGATGCCCAGAACTCGCTAGGGCAGTGTATGAGGTGGGCATCACCTTACAGTGGCTCAGTCAAAGGGAGAGCTGGCACTAGGCAGGCCCAAAGCCACCATGCTGCCATGGCCACTTGGGTCACCTGGGAGGGGGGAATCACCCTATACTTGCAAAATCACTTTAATCTCTCTTTGTCTTGTAGGCCCTGGGTTGTGGGAGGGGAGGAGGGACAATGGGACCCAGTCACTGGTAGTCAGGATCTGGTATCTAGTTGTGCATTACTCAGGGTCCCCCACACATCATGTGCCCTGGGCTCTGAGGCTTTGGAGTCAGAGGGGGCCCCTCTGGCCTGTCCCTCGTCCTTCCATCCAGGCTCACCTCTTCCTCCTCAGTCCCAGGCAATGCTTCCCTGCACTATCCTGCCCTGCTTTCAATAAAAACCTATCAATTCCTTCATTCTCCTCCTTCAATGAGCATTTATTAAGCCACTTCTCGGTGGAAGAATCTGGCCCTTTATTTGGTTTTGTGCCTCTGGGAAGGGGCCAGAGGGGAAGGGACAAGCTAGTCCCTGAGCCTGGAGAGTAGAAGGGGGTGGCACAAAGTAAGCATTTAAGATATGCATCTAAGTGATAGGAATTTGAGCCTCAAAGCCAGCCAAAATGGACCTTTCTGCAGAATGCACCCTTCAAACACTTGGAGACAATTATCACGTCTGCCCCTTCCTCCCACCCCCCCCATGCCCCCAAGTTTCTCCAGGCTAAACATCCCCAGTTACTTTAACATGGACTCCAGACCCTTCCCCATCTTGGTTGCTGACCAGCTTATGAATTTCCTCCTCCAAATGTGGTCCCAAGAACTGGGCACCACCAAATATGGTCATTCCCCACCTCTGAGCAATCCACTGAGCTTCTGCAGATTTGTGACACTACCAGCTGCACAGAACTGAGCCATGCCCATTCCTGTTCCCTCCTTTGGATGCAGGACCTTAGACGGGGGCCACAGAAAGGCTTGGAGAGAGATCTAGGAAGCAGGACAATGCACTGACCAGAGAGGCAGACCGGATTCAATCTAAGCCCTTCATTTGACAGATGAGGTAACTGAGGTAACTGCAGAAGACCAGGCCCTTGCCCAGTGGCATATAGGAAGTAAGGAAGGGCCCATATTCGGCGTTCCTTCCACTGTCTCCCAAACGGCCCTCCCTGCCTTGGCCATTGGTCAAAGGGACAAACCATCCCCAGCAGGCATGGCCAAGAGACCAAGTCCACGGTGGCCTTCCACAGTGCCTGCTTGGGACACTGGCCCATTCTGGCTGAGTGGGGGCATTCAGAGTCGGCACAGTCCCCTGAGCAAGGCCTAGGCTTGCTCTGGACTCGCAGCCAGTGAGTGAATCTGCAGAGAGATAGATTTCAACCCCAAAACAAGCAGCTTCCTAACAGTTTGAGTGTTGAACAGTGGGACAGGCTGATTGGAAAGGCAGAGCGCCCCACACTGCAAAAAGCCTGTCTCGGTGATGGCGTACAAAGACAGGTGCCTCCTTCGCAGCCAGGAGTCCAGTGGGGCCTTTGAGGAGGCCTCTGCATAAAAGACCCCAAACTCAAGTGGGGCCTTAGCCTCCCCTGGATCCAGAACTAAGACTCTCTCTGGAACCGAGCTGGGCGAAGGACTGAGAAGCCTAGTCTGCTCTGCTGGGAAATGACGGGCTTGGACCAAGGGGGCCGCAAGGACCTTCCAGCTCAGCCATTCCATACAGCTCCCTTCGATTTTTTTTAACAATTTTTAAAAAGAATGTTTAATTTTTTAATGGCTGGGTAGGGATGTAACTCCCGGATTTGGCCTGAAGATGGCAATGTTGTCACGTGCCTGAGAGCCCTGTGGTCGGGGAAGGGCAACAAACAGGCTCCCAGTCTCTGGCAGCTGCCGTCCCCCCGTCGCCACAAGTTCAGCACCCTGGGGCTGTGGGCAGAGTCCCACTGGATGCACGCCCCAGCCTCGACTTCCCCCTCCCCACACCTCGGAGAAGGCCGCAGGAGTCTGGCATACAGTGGGCAGGAGAGTTCTTGCTTATTACTCTCACTGGGCTTTCAGGGCCTATCTGTGCTGGCCTCCGATGAACTAAAGCAGCCCTCTCTAGCCCCCCAACCCTCCTAATCTTGGCCCTGGCCAGCTCCCCTGTCCCTCGGGCCATCAACGAAGCAGAGACTCCAGTCCCTGGGGCTGGTCTCAATGGCCAGCCAATGTCAGCCCTCAGCCAGCCCTCTAAGCCCATCCCAGACTGGGAGAGGGCTTGAGGCACGGTGGGTGGAGCAGGAACCTGGAATCCCAACATCTGGGTTCATGTGGCCTCAGACACTTCCTCCTGAGGCCCCCCCCCCATCAATTAATTGGTTTGCCTTAGTTTCCTCATCTGTAAAGTGATAATACTAGCACCTGCCTAGTAGGGTTGTCATGAGGATTCAGATGAGATATGTGATGTGCTTTAAAGCCCTAGAGAAATATGTGCTAATTATCATAAATAGACAATTTCAATAACATAAAAATAAAAAGGGGGGGGCTATGCCATCTGTCAAGGATTCTATAGAAGAAATTCAATTCAACAAACATTCATTGAGTACTTTCTTTAGGGCACTAAAGCTCCAGGGGCAAAAGTGAACCAATCCCTGCCCTGAAGGAGGGGAGGGGAGGGTGATGCGACACATGGGGAGATGAATAATTCAGTGCCATTCTGGGATCCCTGTCCACCTCCTACCTCCCACCATCTAACTCACCCATTGGATCCTCCAGAGGACCATTACCCCACATTCAAGGTTCTCTGTGGGGCTGGACATAGCTCATAAGCCCCAACTGGTGCATTGACCTTATCTGTAGTCAGCCAGAAGTCACAATTAGCTGAAAGTCAAGGCTTTTACTGGAATTTAAAAACAGTGGCAATCAAACATCTCCCCCGCAAACCTTCAGTGTGCTTTCCCACAAATACACACAGCATCAGTGAGAAGAGTGGACACACAGCACTCACAAGTAGAGACACACAGGTAGGGAACACGTGGCAAAGGCTTGTGTGAGAAGACACAACTCACTTCTGACTCTGCAGAGATGAAGGGCCACTGATGGCCTCCACCAACTTTGGCCTCTGCTCCACAAGGTGATGCTAAATGAACCTGCTGGTTCCTGCATCACTGACTGTCACTCTGATGAAGGGTGTTCTTGTTGCCACCTCTAGCTTTGAGCCCAGTTGGCATCCTCACCTACAGCGCTGTTATCAACTTTCAGAATGGACTGGGGCCTACTCCCTGGAACCCGTAGTAGTCTCGGGCCTCCTCGGGCCAGTAGATCTGAGTTCCAGTGGCCAGACTCTCAGACTCCTGGCCTCTCTTGCAGACAGACTCAGCCCCACTGAGCAATGCCATGTGCTTCTGCCAATGGGAAGTGGGGGTGGGGAGAGAAATTGCTCCCTCCAGGCCTTGCTTCTGTGAAGAATAGAGGGACAAGACCTTCAAGAGCCAGCAGAGTCCCCCTCCCCCCACCCCTCCCCTGCCTGGGGTAGAGGAAAGGGCCCAGTATAGTGGTCACCAATTGTGAGGGCCTTCCAGTTGGAGTGGGTCACTTGCATATGAAAGGGCACAAAACCCATTGAGGATGGACCAAGACCTGGGCCTCTGGGGGGGGGGGGAACCTCCAGTTTTGAAAAGGGCCATTTTACAGCTGTCAGTGCTGAAAGGGGCCACACCCTTACATCTGGAGGTCACTTACTTGTCCCTCATAGCCCATAATTTCAAAGTGGGGGCCTTGCGGGTAGGGGACTCAGGTGACCAGGGGACAACCTCCTCAAGCCTCGATCGGCAGCTACAGGCCACCTGAGCTGAGCCGAACCCAGAGCTTCCCGGAGGAAGTGCACCCCTGGCATGGGGGACGGACAGCCTGTGCAAAGGCCTGGAGGGAGGGAATGGAAGAGTCGAGGATGACTATGAGATCTCAAACCTAGGAGCCTGGAAGGATGGTAGTGTCTCGGAACAATAATAATCGA